TACAGATGACTTCAAAGTTTTTTTGTTTTTTTTTTTTTAAGACTGCAAACTTCTACCCTATTCGTGTGTTGTCCTGTGGGGAAAAAAAGAAAAAAAGTAATTAATTTATTAAATTACTGTTTGGACTCTGAAGCGCACTTGCCTCGTCGCAACATATGTGGAACGGATCACTATCCACACACAGATGACTTCTTTTTTTTTTTTTCCCTTCTTTTCTTTTCCTTTTCACAGATGACTTCCAAAATTACTCTTCTGGCCTTCAAAAAACAAAAACAAAAAAAAAAAAGCCTTACCCTGCTGGTGAATGCGTCTGTGGACAACATCGTCAGTTTTTTTTTCCGGACGTGTTTTCCACGTGTTGCCACGTGTCAACCACGTGTCCACCACATGTTTTGCAAGGGGTTTTTTTTTTTTTTTTTTTTCAGAACTCGGTGTGAGACGAGGACCACCCATGATTTTTTTTAATTTTTTTTTTTTTTGGGGGGGGGGGTTCAACCATTACGCAAGGGCATGCTAATAATAATCTCTGTATCGTTCTAGTGTTAACGGATGTTCCAGAGGACGCCATTATATTCACAGATTTGCCCCTCCTTCCAGATTACGATTCGTTAAGCAAAAGGGACACATACCGGAGCTACAATTACGTTTCCTCCGAACTGAATGTGGTCGTAAATGCGGCTAGATACATTGGTAGATAGTCCCCCCCGGCCTAGCAGGTTTTTAAGAGATCCACAAATTACGAAATGGACAACGACAAAAAAGGAGGAGGAGGTCAAGAGATGACTGAACACGAAGAGAGACAGGTGAGGATAGCGGGAGAGAGAGAGAGATGTCTCTTATACACATCTAGATGTGTATAAGAGACAGGAGAGAGAGAGAGAGAGAGAGAAGGAACAGAAGCGGAGATATGGCGAGAGAGAGAGAGAGAGAGAGAGAGAGAGAGAAGGACCTGAAGCGGGGCTATAGCGGGAGAGAGAGAGAGGGAGAAAAACAGTTACGAGGAGAGAGGAAGAGGAGGAGGAAGG